TGTTTAAAAATTTTATAATTTTATAATCTGTCATAAATAATTTATTGTATATTTATAATTATTAATAAAAAAAACTATCCAATATTTGAGGGCCCGCACTCTTGAGGAGCACATCACCATAGTTGAAAATATTGTTATTATTAAGAGTAAAATAAGATAATTAAATTCAAAAGGAGACGAATAAATTGACATATGTTAGGTATTTGAATGCATTTTAATTTTGATATCTTTTTCTTTGAAAAAAAAAAAAAAAGGGCTCACCGGACTGAACACAGTGGTGAACGTGGATGTTGTGAATGATGACATTGCTGATATACTGGAGAGTAATGCAACCTCCGCCGGTAATATGGACATTAGCTCCGCGGGCATCTAGGGTCTTGTAGCTGTTAAATATCAGCTCCTCTTTGAGCCTAATGTGCATATTAGCGGCAAATACAATCCACAAAGGCTCCTCCTGTATCACAGCATATCTTAGAGTTCCGGGTTTGGGATTCACAGCATCATCATCGGAAGAATCAGTGACAATGTAGTACTCGCCGCCTTTTCCCCCTAGGGCGTTCTGGCCAAACCCAATGGCGCAATCCGCCAGGCGCTGGCGGTTGTTGGGCCAGTTCGGGTCGCATTTCCAGCAGTCATCTATGGGGTTGCCTGTGAGGCATGTGGATTGGTCTTTTTGGGAGATTTGTAGGGTCTGCCTTCTGGATACGGATTCATTTACTCTCCTGAGTTTTGCATTTTGAAATGGCAACACAAATGAGGCTCCAAAATAGCAAATAGATTTCAAAAGATATACCTAGCAACCTAAGAGTGTAGTAAATAATAAAGAGGGTGCCTTGTGCTCATTAAAATGGAAATACTAAAGCTGCACAGGAAAGTAGAAGGAGAAAAAGAAAAAGATGCAAAAGAAAATAAAGTGCAGAACAAGAAAACATGAAAGCAAGAAAGGTTTCGTTCTAATAAGTGAAATAAAGAAGCAAAAATACCCAAAATGCAGACGAAACAGAGCAAAAATACCCAAAATATGGCAGAAACAGAGCAAAAATGTCATTCGGGTGCAAACAAGTATCCGTCGAATTAGTTGGGCTAAACGTTAGGATACCCATGTTAAAAAAAAAAAAAAAAAAAAGAGAGCCTAAAATACCCAAAATGCTGCAGAAATAGAGCGTCAGAGTGTCTTTGTTAAGTTCAAAAATGTAAACCCAGAAGGAATATGGTACAACAGGAAGACAGACAGCAACATGAACAAGTCTTTGAAACCAGAAAAAAAAAAAGTATTAGGTTGTACCTTTGGACATCTTCAACAACGTGCTCAGGGTTGGGATGTGGAGTGGGGAAGGTGATGTTGAACAAAGATCTTCCAAAAGGGAAAAATGAAGCCAGGAGACATATCAGGACAATGCAGGTTTGGGACAACATTGGTGGCGGAGGAGAGTAGTTTTGTCTGGTGGCTCCTCTGTTTCTAACTAAAAACAGGGGATTAATGTTTCGTAAGAAGATACATTTGGAGAAAACAAAGGAGCAAGCTGAAAAGATAAAGGGCAACGTATCTTTTCATACTTACAGTATATGATATAAGTTATATTATTTAGAATATTAAAAATTAATTTTATACTATTTAATAATTAATTATTTTTAATTTATAATATTATATATATTAATTAATTTAATCATTTAAATATGCTACAACATTATTCTTAAAAGAGCAGTTATACGGGCACTCGCTTTTTGCACTCTCCGGCCAGCACTTCCCCTTTCATTGGACCACGTAAGCTTCTCTAAAGCTTTCAGCGCAACCTCTCGGAAACCAAAATAACGTGGCCCAATAAAAGAGAAAGTGTTGGCCGGAGAGCGCAGGAGGCGAGTGCCCCTAGCATTGCTCATTCTTAAAATTTCATCCTCCCTCAATTACACTTTTAAGAACTTTTGAGATTCACCCAATGGAGATAAAAGTGAGAGATGTCGGAGGGAATCCGCCGAGTCTCGAGGAAACAGTCCCCAATTTTCTCTGTTGAGAGTAGGGAGGTTTTGGTTAATTCACTAACGCAGTTCGATTTTGTTGTTGTCGATTAATTAATAAAAAACCTTCTCTAGTGGCGTGTTTATAAAATATAAAGGTTCTCTTTGATTTTGTTATCAGTTAATTATTTGTTATTCCTAAATAG